ATAAACTATCATATAAAAATAGTAATTAAGCGAAGTGATCTTTAAAATACACAAGATGAATATTTTTCTTAAAAAATAAGTAATCAATTTTTTTTATATGCAACACTAAGTGCAATATAACTTAACATGGTTAAATTTTGAAAGATATAAAAATCTTTATTTTTTTAATAAATTCAGATAAAAGTTTTAAAAATAATTCTATATATATAGTTTTAACTTATGTTTATAATTATTTATATTTCCAACTCAAGAAACCATTTTAAAAATGATCTAATATATATTTTTCAGATATATATAAAATTAATATTAAAAATTTGAATCTTATATTTTCATTTAACCGCCAAAGAGGAAACCCCTTCATTTTAAACTTGATTTAGGTTTTTTATAAGAAACTTTTTTTATTAAAGTCAAATATAAGCGCATTAATTAGACCGAATTTAAAAAATAAAGTCATAGAGCCAAAACTTTCCTTTGCAAGAAACGAAATGGCATTGAAAATTAAAATGTTTTTGGTTAACTATCTCATTCAATAATTTGTTTTGGAAAGTTTAATTAACTTTTAACTTATTTTCTAATGTTTATGATATGAACACAATTTGTCCAGGCACTTAGTGATCCCTTTAATAAAAAAAATATAATATAACTTTATAATATTATTTAATAAAACTTCTATATATAATCTGGGGAAAAAAACTAGATGAATAAATCCTTTATTCATCTAGTTTTTTTCCCCACATTTTGGTCCTGTGAAATCTCTCCAATCTTCATGTATTTCTGACTCATACTCAAATAGTGAAATTAAAGGAATTCAATGCGCAAAGAAATTGGTTAAAATAATGGAGGATAAAAATTTTTACTATGAGAACAAAGATAAACCTGTCGATGATCAATTTAAATATATTTGATGAGAAAAATTTGAATCCAAGTTCCTTGTGTGGAAAGCAATTTGTAGCTGTGCTATGCAGTCCTCTTGTTTTGTCACTCAGAATACCTTGATTGCCAATCTCAACATCAAAGAATGCCTCCAAAAAAGACTTTTGCCATTTATGAAAAAACACAAATACCGATGTCTCTTTTGGCCAGATCTTGCTGCCTCTCACTATTCTAAAAAAGTTCTACATTGGTGCAAAGATAATAATGTGAAAACTGTTCCTAAAGATGCGAATCCTCTAAATTGTCCTGAAGAGCGCAAGATTAAAGATTTTTAGGCAATAGTTAAAAGGGTTCTTCGTAAGACAAGTGGAGTAACAAATAATAAAAAGGACTTCTAAAAAAAAATGGATTAAAGCCACCAATATGGTGAAAAAAGGAAAAATCTGCGAAATGATGGCATCAACCCGCTATAAAATTTTATCTCTTGCCAAACAGCCTATCATGCCCCTTGAAGTTGAAACTCTATATAAACACATTTGATAATAAAAAAATTGAAATAAAAAGAAATTATGTGTATATATATATGTATATATATATATATATATATATATATATATATATATATATATATATATATATATATATATATACATATATATATATATATATATATATATATATATATATGTATATATATATGTATATATGTATATATACATGTATGCATGTATACATATATATATATATATATATATATATATATATATATATATATATATATATATATATATATATATATATATGTATATATGTATATATACATGTATACATGTATATATATATACATGTATACATGTATATATACATATATACATGTATATATATATATATATATATATATATATATATATATATATATATATATATATATGTATATATGTATATATACATGCATACATGTATATATATATGTATATATACATGTATACATGTATATATATATATACATGTATACATGTATATATACATGTATACATGTGTATATATATATATATATATATATATATATATATATATATATATATATATATATGTATATATATATATATATATATATATATATATATATATATATATATATATATGTATATATGTATATATACATGTATACATGTATATATATATATATGTATATATGTTTTTATACATGTATACATATATATATATATATATATATATATATTTATATATTTTTTTAAAACATCGTCACTTCCAACAAGGCTGCAAGCAACCACTTTTAGAGTTGGAAGTTACTGAAAGAGAAAAGATGAAGTCTAATAAAGCAAGATAATGAATAACAGAGTACTTAAAGATTTCAAATTATATGAATCAAGAAAACAAGATGAATGGAACAAAATCTAATTAAATGATGTTTAAGAAAAAAACTAGATTTTTTTGAGCACTTAGGAATATATATATATATATATATATATATATATATATATATATATATATATATATATATATATATATATATATATATATATATATATATATATATATATATATATATATATATATATATATATATATATATATATATGTATATATATATGTATATATATATGTATATATATATATATATATATATATATATATATATATATATATATATATATATATACATATATATATATTGTTTTTTTGTAAAAATCAGCTCTTAACAACTCTTTATCTTTAAAAGTGACAAAATCAAATTCACTTTATGTAAAAATCATTAAATTTAATTGAAGAAACTTATACACGGTTCTCTAATTACAGTAAAAGCATCGCGCAAGCACATTAAATGTCATGCGCAAAGTTTGCAGAGGTAAACTAATATTTATTATCATTGCTGTGAGAAATTAAGGAGAATGTCTTCTCATTGTGCAGTAAAAGATTGTAAAAACAGTCAATATAGGCTTATAAAATGGAGACAAGAACTTTATAAAATTCATGGAACAAGGAGAGAAGAAAATAATGTAATTTTACAGAGCCTTTCAGGTATAGTAATAATATACCTTTTTTTTTCAAAATATAACCAGGCCAAACTATAACTTCATTTGCTATTTAGAAAATACTGACTGAATAAAAAAATCGAAAAGATATTTGATTATTAAATATAAAAAGTAGTTATAACTATTATGGTTTTTTATCTTAGATCAATTAATACCTGTTTTTATAATAAATAATAACTTTATTTTTCAGTTTTCTATCCTTTCCTGGAAAAAAGAAAAATCCTGAATAAAGGGAAATTTGGAAGCTTCTTATAAATAGAGAGAAAAATAAAAAGCTCTAGAATCCAGGTTCAAAATCAAGAGTATGTTTCAATCATTTTGTCAGTAGTTGCTTTGACTATCTTACAGTTGACTTGGGTTATGATAGTAACAAATGAACTTCTAATTTAGTTCCTCAAGATTCACCCTCTTATGTTAATGGTTATAATCGAAATCTTGCTTGTAAAAAAAAATTAGTTGAAAATGTTAGTAGTTCTGATAAAATACCAGAATCATTGTTTGAGGATGAAGTTATAATTACTGAAAAGCCTGCTACAATTTATGAGAATACCTCCCATGCTGATGATATAGTAAACTTAAAACAAGAAATTTTTTATTTAACACAGAATATTGAAACTTTAAAAGTTCAAAATATAAAAACTGTTCAAGAAATCAATGAAAAAACTATAAAATATGAAACAGAAAAATTAAACCTAACTCAAAAAAATAAACTTTTATATGAAAATAACAAGATTATACATAAAAATCTAATCCTGCTTCAAAATAAAACTCTTCATGAGGAAATGTTAAACTAAGATAAAAATGTTTTATACTGGCAATTATTGGTGTAACAGATATATTTATTGAAGGTCCAAAAGATCTAGAATTACAAAAAGTTACATGGTCCGAATATAAACACCATAATACTGTAAAGGTTTTAGTTGCAGTACCACCAAACTCTTTTACTAGTTTAATTTCAAAATCTTATCCTGGAATAATATCTGACAAAAATTTAGTTAATGATTCCAAATTTTTAGATAATGTTCCGTCGTACTCATATATAATGGCAGATAAAGGATTTAATATAGAGAATGTATTGGTCGTAACATCACATTATATAAACCACCTGGTAAATGAGGTATATACCAAATGCTACCAAATGATGTAACTAATAAAAAAACAATTATCTAAGAATTCTTGTTGAACAAGTCATTAGACAAATGAAAACTTTTAAAATACTATCACTTGATGATATGCTACTTGTTCAGGCTATCATTTGATGTTATACGGTTTCCTCAGGCTTGTGCAACCTGTTGCCACCTATATTTGGCGACTAGTTAAATTTTATATTATACAGTATAACATATTCTGTATAATATATTGCATAAAAAAATGTTTAACTTAAGAACTTTTTTTTATAATTTTTTTTTTATGATTTTAATCTTGTGTTTTTGATTTACCTTTAGTTCACCTATATTAGGTGTAGTAATTAAAGTTATATCATTTGAAGTTATGCTTTCGTATATTGGTGTGTCTGTTTTATTTTTTTTTTCTTGTTATATAAGATTCTTTTTAGTCGGTATAGTTTTACAAATTGAATATACAAACAATATACGCAAAATTTAAAAATCCTATAAAGTTATTTGATTTAAAAAGCTGCATCTTTGATATCCATATCTAACAATTATATTGAAAAACTACCTTTATTTTTTAGTCGTTTTGGTTTGTTTGCCTACACAAACTTTGCATATGACATTTAACCTGTGTGCGCAGGTTAAATGTCATATGCAAAGTTTTATTTTGGGAAGGAAAGTTTTATTTCGGGAAGGCCTATTTATATTTCTCAATCATCTCTGAATACCTTATTTTCTAAAATAAAGGAAATCTAAACTTAACTTTTAAAATATATTTAAATTAAACTTAACTATTAATATATATATATATATATATATATATATATATATATATATATATATATATATATATATATATATATATATATATATATATATATATATATATATATATATATATAGAGAGAGAGAGAGAGAGAGAGAGAGAGAGAGTATTTTGATGGAGTTTTTTTTTTAGATTGCAGTTGGTAATGCATTTACTAAACCCTCAGTGCAAAAAGTCACAAATCAGTTCAATTTCTGTGAACGAGGCTCTCAAACATTTAATAATCCATCCAGGGTAAGTTGATTACATATATAATCTTTACATGGCATGTTTTGTTTTAGAATTAATATAAATTAAAATTAAACTACGTTTATTAGATAAAAATAGATAAAAAGGTGCGTTGTTGCCTTTTTATTGAGATGTAACTACTGTTACTACCTGTAACAGTAACAGATTGTAACTAAGACTGGGTCTGTATCCTGGATACAGAGCCAATTTGTTTCATATCCTGATATAAAACTAAAAAAAGTATTTAATGTTTATATTAACTGTTTTATTATATTTAAAATGAATACAAAATATTTTACATTAAATAATCAAGAGAATCTGTCATAATTTCAAAATATTTCACACATGTTATTGCAAACACTGGAAAAGTGAGTATAAATTTTGATTAGTATTTGTGCACGAGCTTACATTTTTTTAATGTTAAATTTCATATGACATACTTTGGTTCAATTGAAAATATTTTCAATATTAACAGTAGTTAATATTGACAATGTTAACAGTGTTTACAGTAATAAGGATTTTGGTGTCTCTTAGCAATCTTTTGTGAGAAACTTTATGAATACTTTACTATTTTACATTGTACAGAATCAAAAGAAATCAGTATGTAGTTAACAATTTTTTAATAAAGACACATTTTCTACAAGCATAGTTTAAACTCTATACTCCATGCTTATTAAGTGAGCTTATTAAGTCTATCACTGCAGCTCTGTTACATTAAATAAAACTTTTAGTAGCATTTTGAATAAATATTGGTTTAGTGATATGTTGATGGAAAGGAAGTTGATGTTTTTAATTGATGTAGGTGTTCTGTTTTCAGTGCTTTTGGTTCCTCATTTATTTTTATTTTAATGTAAAGAAATTTGAAATTTTTATTACTAAGGTTTTTAATCTTTATTTATAATTATAATTAGTGATTTAGCTTAAAAAAAATGGTATTTACAGTTTCATTGAAATTTTATGTCATTAGTTAGTAGGCAATAGATGCATCTAATTAGAAGATTAGTTCTACTAGAAGAGATTTTTGATACATAATAAGCTTGAGCCAGAGTTAATCTGAACGTTTAAGTGTAACTCATGCATTAATATAAGAAATTTTAAGTTTACAGCAAAACTGCAATAGAAATATATTGCATATTAATTATCATATATTGTCACTGTTTAATAGATCTAGTTTTTATGTAATTATTATGATGAAGTGAGAAGGCTTTGAATTCATTAAGCTATTTGGATTTTGCAATTAAAAAAAAAAATCACCTTTGTAGTAAGCAGGACTTGGTCAGATTTTTAGAAGTTTATTATGGTTTATAGTCATAGCATTACTATATAAGAAATTGTTAGGTAAATAATTCAGAATAAATGTTTTATGTGTAACTGATATTTTTGTTTTGAATTGACTGTAAATTAGAATTTATAATTGATGTTATCGATAATTGATGTATTTAATATTTGTCTTAGACTGGACCAGAAATTTTATTTTTATGAGGTTTTGTGAAAAATGACAAGAAATAAGTAGCATACCAAAAGAAATTGTTAAAACTAAAACAATTATCAAAACCTTTAATAAGTGTTTTAGATGCAGTTAAAGCATTCATCAAAACTTGAGACCAATTATTTACTTTGATAACTATTTCAAGTTTCTTTTTGTTGCAAAAATGGTTGGGCTTTAGATTGATGTCATCATTCACACATTAGATTGCATAAGTTATTTATGCATTAAAATTAATTATTCACTAAAAATAAAACCATCTTTTTGTTAATAGCTTGAAAATTACAAGTGAAATAACAATTTAAATAGTTTGTCATTGGTTTTTAACTTAGTTTTCATACAGGTTAGTTACTTATTCAACCATGAATGATATTTTATTGATGCAGCATTTGCATGACTATAATGATGTTGCTTTTTGTTTTTGGTACCTGAGTCCAGAATTAGCATCTCTTATTTTTTTTTTTAGTTTCTTCTGTCTCAATAAGAAAAGACTGATTTTGTCTTCACAATATAAAAATACATAGTGACCACATCTTACATAAACACTATCATAAAGCTTGATTTGTTGGCTTCCTAAACATTTTGATTCATCTTATGTTAGTTTTCTTGATGTACTTATGAAGCTTGATTTTTTTTCATTCCCAGTTGCAGCAGAATTTATAAGGAATTTAGTTTGCATCAATTGGTGGAGCACTAAACATTGTTCATATGTTTTTCAGGCAAACTACTGTTCTATACGGACTTATTTAATGGGGTGATATATCAATATTTAAAAAAAAATGAAGTAATGTCAGTCAGTATATTTAATCTAAAGTAAAAAAAGATGAAACCATTTAAGAACAAATTTGAAAATTTTTAATAAATATATAAATCATTAAAAAGATCCATAACACAACAAAGAAGCACAGAGAAGCATTCTCTTTTTTTTTATGACTACTACCATCAGATTTTTTTTACTTTCTAATTCTTTTTTACTTTTTAAGAGAAAATAAACATATAGACACAAAGAAATATAAAATATATTAAAATATACCCAAATTAATGTATATAAACTTACATGTCAACAAATAACAGTCTTATCTTATTCACATTAAATACATAAATAAAATTCTAACTTGAAGTAAAACTGAATAGTAAGCTTACTCAAATCAAAATCAGTTTGACTGTCTAAAAATATTTCCTTTTATTAACCCTTATAATAATAAAAGATAACAATAAAGTAAATTGAAGTAACTAAAAATCAATTCAGCTCATTTCAATTACTTTTAAAAATAAAACAAAACCTGCTTAAAATATTTTGAAAAAGACTAACGACAAAACTGGACCAAAAAAAAAATTGCACAGTAATAATATAAAAACTACTTTATCAGTCTTCTTAGCACTAACTTCTTCTAAAAAAAGAAATCAGGCTGTAAAAATTAGAAAAATAAAAACAACCAACAACAAACAAACGTTTGTTTATAATTTTATTGTAAAATTAAACAATGAACAACATAAATTGTTCTTGAATACTAAAAATTTATCGCTCTAATTTGTTTGCAGACCTTACTTGAAAGACCCCCTGGAATAAAGAAACGAGTATAGAAAACCTAGAAACTACTTTAAAATGACTCGAGATGACTCTACTATTACTATTAATATATATATTTAATATATATACTATAATATAATTAATATATATACTATCTACTTTTACTAAATTATTATTAATTTTTTACTATTAATATTTAGAAGAATACCATTCTTTTGCTTATGGTAGTTTCATAGTGAAAGTTAAAAAAAAGTTGTAGGTTTATTGATTGATTTGTGAGCACATAAAATCAATGGACTTTAGTTATAAATAAGTTAATTTTAATGAAATTTAAAATTTATGTTTAGTATAACAAACATTTTTTGAATGAAGTCAATATCTTTTCTTAGGAGCGTGGGACAGAAACAGAACCACCTCCAAGAGGAAATTATAGCAGCAATGTCAACCAGGTATGTTCTCAAGCAAAAAGATTTTGAAAATATATTTTTTTAAACTTCTTCGAACTCTATCACTCTAAATATGTAGTAAAAATTTATGACATTTATTTAGTGGCACATTTTTTTATTGTTCTATTTATTTAGTGGGAAATTTATGATGCCTATGTTGAAGACTTAAAAAGACAGGTATATATAAATGATTTTAAAAATATATAGACTTTTATATTTTTAACAGCAATACAGGTTACAACTGGTAGTATCAACATTTTCTTAAGTGATTTAACTTTAAAATATGTTAAAATTTTTTTTTTTCGAAGCAACTACAGATACTACATAATTTTAAAACATAACAGTTTGTATTTAGAGCATGTGGCCTTAATGCTCATGTATGAGCATTAAGGGAATACCTTTAATGCTCATACATGAGTATTAAGGGTGTTCAAAGAGTTGCTCAAAATATTGAAGTCTCATAAATCACCAAAAACATAATATTTTCATTTACAAAAATTGTTGTTTAAAGTTGGTATGTTTTGTGAGAAAGAAAGGAAAGATTTAGAACATTCTGTAAGGTTCTAAACAGATTTGAAAATTCTGAAATGTTCGATTAGATTGTATAAGATTTTAAAAGTTATGGAACATTCTGAAACTTTCCAGAACATTCTGGAAGATTATAGAACATTTTGGAATCTACCAAAACATTAAGGCACCTTCAAGAAAACTTTAAAATCTTCTAGAACATTCAGGAACTTTGGGAAACATTTTGAACCTTCCAAAACATTTTTGAAGACAAGGAAGGAAGATATTGAATTTTTACCGGATCAATGATCAACTAGAAAGATGTACTTGGTAACAGGAACTGACTAAAGGTAATCAGAGATTGTATATAGAGAAAAATAGTCAGAAGTGATCAAATTCAAATTCAGAAAGATGAAGAGCAAAAAGGAAAGTGTGCTGGTCAGATACTTCGTTAAGAAACTTAATATGATAGAGAAATAAATTTTGAAATATGATTCACAAGACTTTTATATTTTCCCAAACAATGAAATCTAAACAAGTAGAAGAGCTTTTGCTTAACTTAAAATTTAAGACCAATTGCTGACAATTAATTAGAATGATGTGCAGTTTTTTCCTTGATCAAATCTTAAACAAAGCAAAACAATAAAATGACTACTTTGACAAAAATAATGAAAAATGGCAGCAATTTGGCATGGAGAAAAGTCACTGGATGGCTTTGTTTTCTATAAACCTGAAGCTTTTGACAATATTTGCTGAACGGCCATACTTCTACACAGTGCAGATGAAAAAAAAAAGATGTTTTTGTTCGAACATAAGTTAAATTACTGAACAGACACTTTTGCAAAACTTAAGAGATGTTACCATGGTACTCATCTCTCCAAAAACCATTAAAGATAAAATCTGCCATTGCTCAAAAGCTTTTGAAAATTAACTAACCTTTAACGTTCCAATTTGGAAAGTCTATCATGCCTAGATTTCTAAGAACGTCAATGTAAACAAAGAACAGTATTTTGGCTTCTTTTATTTTACTTGCACTTGGACTCTTTTTAAAACTTTATAAGTTAATGGTTTAATATGGTTCTGGCAATCAATGGTGATTTTTCACCATTACTTTCAGAAAACCAAATTTTTTTTATCAAAACATTATGTGCTCAAATGACACCACAGAGAGAGGAATTTCAATAATCATAAACTATACAAAGGTTCTTTCACATAATGACAATTCGGAACAACAATCGATTTCACAGCTTGTAGAAAAACATTTTTTTATATAATATATATACCAGGCATGGCCAAATAGCAGATCTTAGAATGTCATTGTGGCTTGCGAGCCGCATGTGGCTCTTTTAAAAAGTTTTATTGATTGACTATTAACAAAAACTTATAATAAAGTATAGCCAGAAGACATACTGTGTGAAAAATGGATATAGCAAAAGGTGACAATAATGCTCTTCACAATAAAAGTAAGAAAGGAAAAATTGAAGATGAGAACAGATTATTTCATGGTGATTGGACAGAAAAATACACAATTGTTGGAAAAGAAAATAAACCTGTGTTTCATTTGCAATACAGAACTTGCTCATAATAAGACATGTAATGTTAAACGTCACTATGAAATAAAACATTTTTTTTTCTGAAGAATACGCATTAAATTTATGTCAGAAAAAATAAAATCGAGTTGCTTTAAACAATAATTAAAAATCAACAAATTAATATTTCATCTTCCAGCAAAGAATCAAGTATTGCAACAGAAGCAAGTTTTATTATAACTTGGAACATTGTAAAAAGTAAACATCCTTACACCAATGGAGAATTAGTAAAATCAAATCTTTTAGATGTGATCTCAGTTTTATGATCCTAATAAAAGCAAAATTCAAATATTTCAAATATTTCTGTTTCTCATATATTCTTCTGAAAGAAGAATATCTGAGATTTGTGTTAAAGTTGAACAGCATTTGTTAAATGACTTAAAAAATTGCAAAGTATTTAGTTTTAGATGAATCAACAGATATTCAAGATAAACCTCAAATGGCAGTATTTATTAGATATGTAACATCAGATATACTTGTGAAAGAAGAGTTGTTAGATTTAGTAGAGATAAACCTTTAAATCAATTCCACAAGACACAACTTGTGGAATTGATTTAAAGGAAGCCCTTGACACTGTTCTGGTGAAAGCCAATGCTCTTAAGAACAAGCTTGTTAGTGTTGCTACAGATGGTGCAACAGCAATGGTTGGAAAACACATCAGGCTTATTGGTTTACTAAATAGTGATCCTACGTATCAAGAGTTTATCCCATTTCATTGTGTGCTTCATCAAGAAAATTTAGTAGCAAAACATTTTATTTTTCTAATTGTTTTTAAATCAGTGCTGGAGATTGTAAATTTTATTCAGTCTAATGCAAAAAATCACCGACAGTTTAAAAATTTCATTAGTGAATTTGATCTTGCTGACAAACCCAGTGACTTGCGTTTTACTGTGCTGTAAGGTGGCTAATGTTCTTTATAGGTTTGTTGAACTATTAGAACCAATTAAATGTTTTTTGCTTGAAAAGCAAAAGAAATTCGAAATTTTTGATGATATGAATTTGCAAGATCTTTTTTTTAACTGATGTAATGTACCATTTACAAAATCTGAGTTTGTTGCTTCCGGGAAAAGAAAACAGTATATCTGATCTTGCTAAGACTATATTTTGTTTTCAAAAAAATTTTCTCTATTTCAGAAAGGTCTTATCTTAAAAACTTTTATTCATTTTCCTCAAATGAAGAAGATTATTCATAATCCTAATCCTGCAATTCAGTATGATGATCATAATCCTACGATTCAGTATGATGATCATAATCCTACGATTCAGTATGATGATCATAATCCTACGATTCAGTATGATGATCATAATCCTACGATTCAGTATGATGATCATAATCCTACGATTCGATGATCATAAGATTGAATCATACTGGGAAAAACTACAGAGTTTATTTGAAGACTTTTAAAACAGCTTTAAAGATTTGTATGCTCTTAAGTCTTCATTAGGATTTTTAGTAAATCCTTTTTTAATTGATATTATTAATGATGTTGTCCAATACCAGAAAATATACTTAAAGAAACATCTTAATTTGAAATGGAATTACTAGATCTCCAAGAAGATCAAAATCTTCAAATGCTGCATAAAACACTAACTTTATTGGACTTTTGGAAAATAGTTCCTGAAGTTAAGTATCCTCAACTAAAAAGGATTAGTATAAAACTTATTTCAATTTTTGGTTCAACATATATATGTAAATGTTTATTTTTGACTATGAAATTTGTTAAATCAAAGTATCGTGCCAATCTAACTAGTGAACATTTGTTACAGTTGCTTAGAATATCAACTACATGCTTGAAATCAGATTTTGAAAAACTTACCAGTAGTGTTCAAAATCTTAGTGCCTAATAAATTTATAGTAAATTAGGCTTTGATATTTTGCAGTTTTTAGTAACTTATGCAATTAAGTGTTATAAGCAAGTTCAATTCAAATAAAAACAAGTTTAATTCAAGTACATTAAAATAATTCTTCTTCTCAAAGAAACCTTTTTATCTTTAGATTTTTATATCTTGCTTACAATTATTTTTATAAGAAAATTTATGGTTGTTGTAATTGTGTTAATTTAAATTAATTTATGATTTGAAGATGGTTTCTCAATTTTTTCTACAAATGGTTTTCTAGTGTGAATAAAAAGGAATCAGATTTTATGTAGCCAAGTTTACATTTAAAGAATAGTTTTTACTTTCTTTATTGTAAAAAAACTAAATACTAAACATAAAATGTGTACATACTATGTTTATTTATAAAAGTACAATTTCCATTTAAAAAATCAAAATATTGATGTATAAAAAATCTAAATTTACATTCACCAATTTTTTTTTTTAAGTTGGCATAGCAACATATTTATTGAAGTTGGCATAGCAACATATTTATTGCGGCAGTATTTATATGTAGCTCTTGCGTCTAAAATTCTGGCCAGCCCTGATATATACACAAATGCACACTGAACATTTTTAATCCATTCAAAGTTGTGTCGATCATCATTCATAGCGGTATTAGTTATTAAAATGAATTTAATACATTATGTACGTAGGTATACACTCATCCTTGGTAATGTTTCTTTGAGGTACTGAAAGGCATAGGAGTTGCCTTTAAGAACTTTCACAAAGTTCTTCATCAATCCCAACATGATGTGAAAAGGTGAGTGGTAAATTTTGTCTATGTGCTAGTAGACTACTTCATATTGTGTTTTCTTGGATATATTCAGATCTTACTTGCCACTGCTTCTGTGAATAATGCTGCTTATAAGTAGTACTTTGTGTAACCACTTTGCGTGCCCATCACTAGTCCAATAACTTTAAAGTTGGCACAAATATTCCAGCTAAATCTTCTATATTTGATTAATGCAAAAATTTGCATTGATCAACTATAGAAAATTGGGCAGAATTTTTTTCAAGTGCATCAAAGCTGTGATTTTTGTGAGAGGAAATAATAGGTGCTGATTCATCACTTTTGACAATGTAAATCTCTATAGGAGACACAGGAATTGGCAAGGTGTCATTGTGAGATACAGGCCTAATTGCAGAAGGTATATTAGAGTATTTAATCTTCTCCTTGTTCTTACCAGAAAGTTCTGTTGTCTTTATCATGCAGAAGTAGCAATCTGTACTATGGTCTCTTTGCGTCTCTCAAACATCTTTTTAAACAAATTGCAAGCTAAGCACGTGTAATGAATTTGTTTTATTTAATTATTGTTTTTAATTATTGACTTATAAAGTTCCCACTTCTCTGACAAATCACTTATTGAAAGCCTATTAAATACCAAACTACCTATGTGGCCAACTGATGCTGATATCAACTACTATACATAGGCCGACATTATTAGCCAATGACATCAGCTGATTCTGATATTTTTATCAACCAAAATGTGTTGTGAGAACAAATCAGAGCCATCTAAGGTTGGAAAATGCAACTATAAAAGTAGCTGCATAACAAATGGCAGTATGATGATTTGTTGCATGGTGAAAATATAATGCATTGCAAAAATTGTAATGCCGCATAACTCAAAATTCTGGCATGCTGGAAATATTCCAACTACCTTTGAAATCAGCATCATTAATATATATATAAAATCATCCAACATTTTATAAGTTGTAAAAGTTGTGTTGCACAGTGTATTTAACACTTTGTAGATTATATTATTAATTGTAAATTTTCGTATATATCTATTTATATAATAGTTATACACATTAATAACAATAATATTGTTATTAATGTGTATAACTATTATATAAATAGATATATATGAAAATTTATTGAATATTATCTTTCAAATAATAACAACCAAAAAAATTACAAGGTATGAGTATTAATTTAAACAAGAAAATTATTTAGTTTTCAAACAAAGTCGAATCTTTCTTCCATTAATTCTCAAGCTTATCAATTAATTTTAAAAAACATTTTTTTAAATTATTTTTATCAAAATGATAATAACCTTATTATACTGAATAAACCGTAATGATATCTATTTTAAGTTTTTTTTGTCTATTATTTTGAACTGTAACCTTAAATATAATCAGAACCAAAACCGAAAATTCCGGCCGAAATTGTGACCGGAACTGAACCTAATTTCAGTTGACTACAAGTTTTCATATTTTTTTGCATACACTCTTGTTCTTTGATCTGTATATACTTTTGCATACACTCTTGTTCTTTGGTCTATATATACTTTTGCATACACTTTTGTTTTTTGGTCCTTATATAATTTTGTATAAACTCTTTGGTCAACTCTTGAAAGTTCACTCTGGGTCTTCACAAACTTTTGCATTAATATTATAACTACATTTGCAGTTAATATGAATAATAATGTAATTCATATATAATAGATTGAATCAATCCAAAGTTGGTTGAATAGCAATTATGTTTAACAATAATACATATTTAAAAATGGTAATGTTATATGTGCACTTTAATTTTAAAATGCAAAGTATGATTGTATAAAAGTGCTAGCAAATATTTTTTAAAAGAGTTGTTTTTTGAACAACCCTATCTAACATCCTACACAAATATATCCTATAAGTACTATAAAAGTAAATTAAATTGAATATGTTTTATAAATATATTTATAAATAAAACTTCATGAGTGTCTCTAATTTTATGGTTGTGTAGACTACAGCCTAGATTGCCTATACTTTAATTCAGTCATATAAAGACAACTTTTTTTGCAATTTTTTTTTTTTTAACATTTAAATATTTTTTTTGTTTCTGTTGCAATAGTGTTCAGTTCTTTTTTCTTTTATAATATAAAATATTAGTGTTGTTTACTTTGTAATAATGCATTAACATTATTTGCAACATTAAATGCATTAACATTATTTACAACATTAAATACAAAAATATGTTTTTTGCAGGAAAAAGAGAAAGAAAAGGAAGTTAAAAAGTCAGCTAAAAGAGAGAGTGAAACAAAGAAAAAAAACTTGACAACAGAAGTCACGGTAAGTTCTATTTATGTTCCATATGTAAAGGTAATATTATTTATTATGTTTGGTCATGATTTTATACAAAAAATTAAATATTTGTAAACTCTTTAATTTGAGAAAATAATTCTTGTGTGTAAGCAATTTGCTTTTAATATAGAATGATGAAGTTGCAAATGTCAGCAAAGTTGCCAAAATTATTGAACGAATGGTTAATCAAAATACATTTGATGAAATTGCTTATGGTAAAATATTTTTTTTTATTGTTTTAATTTGTCTAATATATATATATATATATATAGTAGTAAATGACAATTCAAGAAGAGGAATCAGTGAGAGAGTTGCCGTTTATTAATATAGGAATGTCAATAGTATTTGCGATAATATAATATAGGAATGTCAATAGTATTGCGATAGTTATTCGCAGTAAATAACTGAGTTTTGTTGGAGTTAAAATTTGCAAGCCACTGTGAGCTCAAATCTGTTTTATAAGTGAGATAAAATTCAAGATTGGCTGCCTGTTCTAAGTTATTAAAAAGAATTTTTGTCAAGACAGGAGTATAAAGTTGAGTCATCAGCAAAAAGAGCTATTTTAGATAAAAAGTTGTCAGGAAGATCATTAATGTATAAAAGAAATAAAACAGGACCAAGGGTAGAACCTTGAGGTACCCCAGAAGTTCTAGGATGACTTTAATAAAGTGGTTAAAAAGAAACAGTTTGATTATCTTAAAACTTTTCCAAATATATCATATAAAACAAGCTTATGGAGCAGACCAGTACTATTCACCTCAACATTACCTCGGCAACATTTTTAAAATTTTATTATAGTTTTGCGTTTTTAATAAATTATTATTCTTATGATGAATAAAAAAAATGGTTTTTATTACACAATATTGTATTTGGTTTTAAAAAATGTTTTCTTTTATTATTTTTTTTATTAAAATATCACTTTACTTTTTAAAAGTTATTTTATAACTTTTTTGACTAACATTAACTAACTCTATATTAGTTATTGACCATTAAAAATTATAGTAAAATGAGGCGCAGCTTATTGTACAAAGTAGCATCTAAAATCATTTGCAAAATGCGAATTTGTCAAATCATCTACACTCAAATCATCTGCAAAACGCGACTTATCACGATTTGCAGATGGGCTTATTTTGATATATTGCCGAGGCAATTTATCAAAATACTAAAAAGCCCTTGGCAAAAATCTTGGCATATGCCAAATACCAGGGTTAATTTTACACGCTGTATGCACCCGCACATACTTACTATATTATAGTTAGGTGCCTAATCAAGGATAAAGATTGGAAAAGTTGGCAGTTATTTTGAGTTCACTAAACCTCAATGACTTGCAGCTTATATAAGTAATTTGAATTACTGATAGTTGTGGAATAACTCAGGTTACTGAAATAAAAAAAATTGAATGAATGTAGATCTACATGATTACTGGGATAACACTTTTGCAAAAAAAAAAGATTATCATAAATAAGTTTTACTAACAAAAAAATCTTATTTAAATATTAAAACAAAAATTTTAACATTCTTTAAAAAATTCTTAGAAACCTTTGTAACAAAGGAACATCAACACATAAATAGAACATTTTTTTATCAACACAAGTTGCACAAATAGCAATGTATACCCCCACATATTGTTTTTTCATAACAACAGTCTGATGACATACTGAAATAGGGAGCTAGTAGGAGTTTCAGTAGATTATCAACCAGCTAAATAATAAGAACAAGTAAAGTAATGATGCTACATTGACTAAGGATTTAGGTTGGGGCAGCAATTTTTTTTTTATTATTATCTGCTTTAATTGTTGAGAATTCAGTAAGCAAAAATATTACCAAATGAAAAAAGTTTATTTGCTAAAATATGTGCAAAGAAAGCAAAATCCAATATAAGTCTGAAAATTAAAAAAAAAAAAACAAAAAAAAAAAAACAGTATAGTACTTCATTAAATAAGGTATATAATTCAATGTCAACTAGAAAAAGATTACAAATGAAGATATTGATATGGTTTACTGAGAATTTAACTAAGAGAACTTAACTAAGGAAAGATTTAAATATAAATTTTATTCATAGAAGTTAAAGACTTAAAAATCATCATGCTTTTGATTTTGGTATGAAAGAAATTTTGGTATTAAAATCTTTTCCACCAGTTTCATCTAATAACTCATCTTTTAATGTATCCAGCAAAGAGAATTAAGAAATATATGTAGTATTAATTTGAAAAAGAGCTCTGCTGAGCTGCATCTGTATATATTGGAAATGTAATAATAAAATTATTTGCAGTAGTGGTAGAGCACTCGCTTCATAAGCAAGAGGTTCCAAGTTCGATCCCCACCATGTCCCTGGTAGAACCGCGCTCAACTTGTTTCTCTGCGCAACGGCCTTGTTCGTCAAGGTTTGTTTTTCGGAGTTATAGAGTTGAGAGAGGGTTGTAACCACAATAAAGTAGCCTCCTCGTCTGTTGTGGCCTTCTCAGTCTTGGGGAGGTGAAGTAACAAAAAAAAAAAAAAAAACTTAAAGTGAATTAGCTGCAGGGTTTCATCTTGGTGTAAAAGGTCATACACCAATTCTTTCGTTAATTCCTAATAAAAGCCATAATTAAAAGACATTGTTTTATTAAAATTATTAACCCATAGAAGAAGATTTTAGAACATCAAAAATAGAAAAAAATTAGATTTAGTTAGATGTTTCAATCCATAAGTAATGTTTTTACTTTGATTGTAAACTGCATAATGATCAAAGGGCAAAACAAATTACAATTGAACTTGTGTAATTCAAATCCTCAAGGGCCCTCAAAATATGTTTGAATTAAAAAAAATTTGAAATTATAGGAGTTCCATCCCAAATATTTAAACCTAAAGGGACCCTAGAATTTGTTTCATTTAAATGATCTTTTGAATTATAGGAGTTTGAATTACAGGAGTTCAATTTTTTGTTTTTATTTCTAAAATACCTAATATATATATAAATATATATATTTTTTGGTGCTACATACGAGTAATTTGATTATTACCTCTCTCACCATTTTGTATTTTGTACATTTTTCAAATAAAAATAAATAAATAATAATAAATAATAATATATATAGATATATAAAGATATATTTTGAAATATCTAATATGAAATATTAAATTTAATATGAAAAATTAAAAGTTTAATATATATAATATGAAAAATTAAATTTAATATGAAAATTTTGTCATTTTTAATACATTTTTTGCTGTTTTTGATGAAATATCTTTATTCAACACTGAGGCACATAATTGAAGGATTCAACATATTTATTTGTATGTTATTGGAATGCAAATTATGTGGCTTTTATGTTGTTGACACATATACATCTGTCATTTTGTGCAAGTTCTAACAGGAAAGACTATGGCACAAAAATAAACTTGTTGGCAAAGTTCAAAAAATATTGGTTTGGCATTTTTCAAGTATTCAATCAAAGTATCAACACTCTGGGCTGATTTAATTGCATTATTTTTGAAAAAAACTCTTACATACATCAGATTGCATCATTATCAATTATCCATTTTTCCTAAGTTTGAAACAGACTACAGAAGGTTGTGTAAACTGAGTTTTTAACCTGGGCAATAAAGTACTAAATGTGTTTCTCTATCTACCCTCTGCTTTTTATAAAGGTAGATTTAATTCAAATGAGACATTTATTGATGTTTTTTTTATTGATGTTTCAGCTAATATACAAGAAACTGAGTCGATGATAGTGAAGGAAAGAAAATTAAAAAAAAAGTTAAATGAATTAAAAAAAAAAATTCCAACGAAATTGCATTTTATGTAGCAATTTTTTGCATTCTTTGGTTTCTAAAGCCATTCACACAGGCATTATCTAATGATCTCAGTTCTATTAAAATAGCCTAAAACACAAAGCAGAAAATGAAATCTTAGTCTATTATTTTAAGTATTCTTTTCTCAAACATACATGGTACTTAGCTGATGTTTTTATTGTATAACTTGCAGTTCCAGACTAACTAATAAAGAGAAATCCTTAATGATACAATAACTTATCAAATGTTCCTAACCAGAGTATATCTTGTTCTGAAACTAATTTCATGTTTTTCAAAGATTTTGTGTCAAATATTCGATGCATAAATGATCGCTTTAAAAATAATGTTTTTCTACTTTTTGGCTGGCTATTAGATTAAAAGTCAGTAAAAAGTAGTGGAATATATATATATATATATATATATATATATATATATATATATATATATATATATATATATATATATATATATATATATATATATATATATATATATTTGTTTATTGTAGTAATTGTGTAAATATTTCTTGTTAAAAAGTGCTCAATACCAAAGAAGAGCAATATATAGTAAAACTAAATAATTATAACACTTGATTTATATATATATATATATATATATATATATATATATATATATATATATATATATATATATATATATATATATATATATATATATATATATATATATATGTATATTTATATATTTTAACATCCTTGCTTCCAACAAGGCTACAAGCAACCACTATTAGAGTTGGAAGTTACTGGAAGAGAAAAGATAAAGATTGTAGAGCAAGATAATGATTGACAGACAACTTTAAAGATTGCAAATTATATAAATCAGGAAAGCAAGATGAAGGAAGCGAATTCCAAAGAACTGACGAGGAAAAAAAACTAGACGAGTAAAAATTTTTTAGCACTTTAGAATAGTCACAGAAAAATGATGAGAGTTAATTGAATGACGAGTAACACGAGAATGAATTTCAGTAGATGGCACAAAAAACGCTAGCTCTTTAGAGCAGTGTCCATTATAGTTTTTGTAGAAAAGGGAAAGAGAAGCAACATTACGACAATGTGATAATGGTTGGAGGTTGGCTGCAAGAGCAGGTCTAACTAATGTTTAATTTAAGGTCTAAAGTTTAATTTGATTATCACTTTTTTCAGGTTGATTATAAATTTTTTTGCTCTCTAGTTGACAGCGTTTGTTCAATTAGTGTTTTCTTTAATGAAAAAGCACTGTTTTTAGAAGATTAAGTATGGGGCATTTAAAAATAATTGAAATATGTTAAATATCATTAGATTACTATTTGAAAAGATTATCTGATATTTTGTTTTTCAATGTAGATTTTAAATATTGGGAAGATGCTTCTGATGAATATAGAGAAAATGAAGGTACAGTGCTGCCATTATGGAAATTTTCATATAAAGGAACAAAGAAAATGACTGTAACAGCTCTCTCATGGTATATAGTTTTAATTGATTTTCTTATGTTAATTCCAAATTAGTCATTAGTTAGAGGATGTCCCTATGTTAATTCCAAACTAATAAGATTTTCAAATGTGTTCAAATTGAAGAAATTGATCTTTAAAATTGTTTTTATTTTTAATATAAAAACACAAAATAAAATTTTGAGAAATTTTTTTTTTTACTCTAAACAATTTGATAAAATTTATTGTTTTTGAAATATGAAACTTACAAAATTTCACACTTCTAAAATAGTAATTTAATTTAAATGTATCAAGTTAGATATTATATTAAATATTAGAAAATATTAAATATTAAATGTTAAAATGTTAAATATTAGAAGATGCAATGTTAAATATTAGAAAATGTTAAATATTAGAAAATGCAATAATAAAATAATATTAAAAATTCAAATACAAAGAAATAAAAAATTTAATAGTTTTTACAACAAAAGTTTTTTAATGTTTTGCCTAAAAATGTAAAAGCCATAGACAATTCAAAAATTTAAATTTCTAAAATTCAAAAGTTTAAAACAATTCAAAAACTCAGATTTTTAACATATTATAATATTTACATTTCTTTATTTTCAAAATATATTTGAAATAATCCATATTTTGATTCTTTCAAATAAAATAAATTGATGTTTTTATTTTATTATAATTTTTTCAAAAGAGATTTATTTTCTTTTTTATATCTTTTATTTATCTTTTAGTTTTATTTCTCTTATGCTGTTTAATAACATAAATTATTTTTTATACTTAATACTTAGTTTCTATTTGTTATTGTTATATATTTTATTGATATATTTTTAACTGATAAACATATCCTTTACAAATATTGTTTAAAAAAAATTTACTAAAAAAATTACTTTAGTTTAATCATAGCAAACCATATTTAATTGAAGTAAATCAATATTTTCACAAAATTTGCATTAAAAATATGAATAAAATATTACTAATATTTTAAACTTCTTTATTGCTATAAATTGGTTTTTTTGTTATATTTAATGTTATTAAATGATTATCTTTATCAAAATTCTGTTACAAATTGTTTTGTATTGTTTAACAGTATATAAGTATTAAGTAAAAATATTATTGGATACACATATTCTTCAAATTCTTGTTTAGTTATGTAAAATATATTTAATGAAATTTATTTTGTAAAACATGTATTATTTATTTATTTTTAATTTAATTATTATGGCTAATGGTTGTGAAGAAGTGTAGCATTATTGAATTAATTTTAAATTGATATTGTTTATTGGAAAATTTGTAGTTGTCAATTTTGGTTTTTAGTTTTTAGTGTTAAGAGACAAATATGACATATAAATTGGGAAATACCAAATATAATAATTATCTTTTTAATGTGCTTTTCAACACTTTTACAATTTAAATCACCATCTGTTTTAAAATATTGCCATAATAAATTAACTATTGATTTAATTAGTAATTAGCTGTCTTTAATTTTGTAAATTATAAATTATATAAAAAGGCACAAAAACATACTTTGTTTTAATTTGATGGTTATAAAACTGAATATTAGACTAATAATCGAAATTTATAATGACAATTTGTGGAGTTATTGGTTGTTCTAGTAATGCAAAATCAAGTTCTCACATATCCAACATATGAGTAATAATACACAGACTGACTATTGATATCTGTAATGGATATGGTTCAATGCAACCATTCATAAAATTCTATGCTCTGTTATGCACTTTTGATCTTTAGAAGAAAAAACTTAATTTTACTTTACATAGTCATAATGAATAAAAAATTTATGTTTCTTACTATTATTATTTTCTATACTGAATACATTAGTTTATATTTTTAGTTTATGAAAGTTGATCATTTATGCCTTCATCTCTGTTCAAATCAATAATTCGATTTAGGTAAGTAAGAAGAAATGCACTTATTCTGACTTACCTGAACCAGGTTAATCATTATTCATTTTCCTAATCCTAATTTTATTCTCTACAAATACTTTTCCTTTTTTAAAACCATTTTCTAAACCATGGTTTTCTTTTGTTCCTTGTAACAAAGTTTATTCTCATATGACTCTTTATTGTGTTAAGTCACATCTTTTCACAATTCCAGTCCAGTTCTTTATGCTTATGAATTTTAAGTTCTACTCAATTTTTATTTAAACATATATCAAAAACTTAAAAAAGATTTTTATTTAAATTGATAGATTGCCTGCTCAAACCAAAACTCTGCGTTGATATATGTACACTACTTGCATGTGCTACCTATTTAAGTCAGTCAATGCCATCTGCTATGGAAAGGATTGCCACATTTTCTGTTAAAAAGTGAAAGATTCAAGATACTTGATTCAGGATCAGAAATTAACTTGTAATCTTATGAAGCGTAGTTTGACTAAGAATTAAAACGTCTTTTGAAAGTCTTTAAAATGTCATCCACAATTTTAATAAGAGATTCAATCTGTCTAATTGGCTCAAACTTTTCTATCCATTTTAATTAATTGACTTCAGATAATAGTTTGCCTACAGGCCCTTTAAATTCATTCTTGGAGTTTGTAGATCCATCAAGATTTGCAATCAGGTGTCTTAAAGGTAGCTCATTTGTATGTAATACGCAAATTGACCAAAAATATTTTCCTCCAATAAGTTTATTCAGATGAGCTAATAATCCACCATTGTTACCAGTCATTGAATTTGTGGAGTCTCTTGTTTGTTAGGACCCTTTGAAGGTGTGTAGCAGGTCAATTAGCTTCCTTTTGTTTCAGAAGCATCACTGATGTTTTCTTGCTTTTCTATTCTTTGACAAAACATTTTATTAAAAAATTTTATTAATTAAATCTTCAATCAAAATTAGAGTAGGCCATTTTTTTCCATCTACAAATATTCCTTTGATAGGTGCTTCAAAATATGCCTTTGATAGGTGCTTCAAAATATACCTTTGATAGGTGCTTCAAAATATACCTTTGATAGGTGTTTCAATGGTAGGTAATGATAGGTGCTTCAAAAGTTTTTTTTCCATCTACAAATATGCCTTTGATAGGTGCTTCAAAAGTTTTTTTTTCATCTACAAATATGCCTTTGATAGGTACTTCAAAAGTTTTTTTCCATCTACAAATATGCCTTTGATAGGTACTTCAAACGTTTTTTTGACAAAACTCTAGTTGTAATCATAATCTCTTGTGTAGCTCTCCAATTTTTAAGATTAAATGCTAAATTAGTCATTTTTGTAGTCAAGTAATTAGATTTGATCAAATCTTGAAAGAAAGTAGATACAATTGCAGATGTAGCAGCAGGAGATATGTCAAATCAAAGAAATGCTGGTGATGTATTAGGGATCTTTATGTAATTCTGTTTAATGGTAATAAATGGGGGAGTTTTTGATTTGATTTTATAGGAGCTGTCTTCTGAGGATAGCTGCAATAACATCAAATAAAAAAACTAAATATTTTCAAGTGAAGCTTCATAAATCCACTAAATCATAAACTTTATCTTCAACATTTTCTATTAAACCTGTGTAATTAATATGAGGTTTTTTAATTAAGTTTTTTCTTTTTTCTAAAGATGCAATATCTTTTATTTTTATTTTTTTTGCCTTAACTTGTCTTTCTATTTCTACCTTGTCTATTTGATATATTTAGTAGCCTGACTTTTTACCAACCTTATTTCTTTGAGATCTGAGCCATAATAAATCAAATTGTGGCCCCATTATATCTTTAGAATAAATGCATAAAATGAAACTCCTGCAAAACAATTTTAAACCTCCATTCATGGATAATTATCATCTGTACAAAGCAATATGTTGCACCTACATTTTCTAATATCTAACAATTTGTACAGCTTACCTTCCCATAATTCGACAGTATTTTTTTTTTGTTTCTTTTTGATTAGAAATGTCACTAATCTTATTTCAGGCAGTTAAAATTTTATCTGACTGCCTTTTTTGAGATCTGACTGCCTTTTTTGAGATATGGAGTCTTAAACAAAGCATTGGATTGAAACCATTGTTTTAATATCAAGTCTGCCATTACCACGAGATTTCTTTTAAACATCCTCTACAAAAAATATAAAATTTGAGCTGTTGTAAAATTGTTGTTTGAAATACTTAATATTGTAATATTTCCTACCCAGTAGGCATCGAATGTCCAAAGATGCCCAGCAAATGTCTAGATGTCTAATAGATGTCTTATGGATGTCATTGGATGTCCTGTGCCCACTTGGTATCTACTACAAATTTACTTTTCAATATTGTTTTTTAAAACTCACATATCAAGATTTTCAGAAAGAAGCAAATTTTCTTGAATACATAGACCTTTCCTAAATAAATATCTTGGTGCAGGAACTTCAGTTTTATTAGTTAATTTAGTTGTAGAAGAATGTCTAGTTCCAATTTTACCAAAAAACAATTATACTAAAAAACCACAAGAAAAATTTTTCAAATATTGCAACTTTTTGATATGACTGGCAAATAATTTAATCCACTACTAACACATAGCAAATACCAAGCACTAGGTAACTGTGTTCTATAATTTATAGATTACAATTACAAATGGACTTGGATAATTAAAAATTAAGAAGGCAATTTTAGAGTTTTTTTGTTGTAAAGAAGCATCATTTCGTCGTAAAGATTTCATCGCTTTTTTACATTTTTTCAAGTTAATTTGTACTCACCACGGCTGTTTTACTCAATATAAAAGCGAGCTTGACGTCACAAGAATTTTTGTGTTTGAAAAAAAAAAAAGAATTTCCGCATAAAAAGTATAAAAATTCACTAACTTTAAATTAATAGTATTTTTTTTCTATAAACGTTTTTATCTTTGAATTAAAAAAATATAAAAGAACTATCTTTCTTCGTTAAATAAATATTTACATGAAACATAAATGAAAATAAAAATAAGCATTATTAAAATATTTTAAATGATTTTGGATCACTTTTCTATTTTTTGCGTATTTTACGGAAAACCTGTCTTGGGCCAATCAAGATTTAATATTTTAAGCTACATGCTTGATGATTGAAATTTTATATACTTATAAACGAATGTCTATTCTATCAGATTTTTGGAGGGCACATATATACATATATATATATATATATATATATATATATATATATATATATATATATATATATATATATATATATATATATATATATATATATATATATATATATGTATATATATATATATATGTATATATATATATATATGTATATATATATATATATATGTATATATATATATATATATATATATGTATATATATATATATATATATATATATATATATATATATATATATATATATATATATATATATATATATATATATATATATATATATATATACCTAGCTAGTTTATATAGCTGGAGGTTACGCAAAGTAATATAGCATTAAAAAAAAAAGAATGTTTTTAACTTCAGGTCTCCTAATTATGAAGATTTATTTGCAGTTGGTTATGGCTCATGTGAGTACTTTTAATGGGCTCTTGTTTTAATATTATTTCCCTTTCATTTAAAATTTTACTTAAATTTTACTTTCATTTAAAATTTTAAAGTTGTTATTAATTTATACAATTTGCATTGGTTGACTGTTATATTTGTTATAGATGATTTTTTAAAGCAAAGTACTGGAATAGTTTGCTTTTACAGTCTAAAAAATCCAACATATCCTGAGTAAGATTTTTATTTAAAAAAAAAACAAGCTTTAATTTAAAGTTATTTTAGTTAAAAATAAAAAATTATAATTTACAAATTTGATGTTTAAAGTTATTTTAAGTATAGCTGTTTATTTTTATTAAGTTTTTTTATTGTTGTTATTTTGGCTAGTTCTGATATTTAGACGGATTTTTATGACAGATTGGGGTGTTATGTGTTTGGATATTCATCATTCCTATTCAAATTTGGTAGCTGTTGGATTTTATGATGGTCAGGGTTTTTTTGTTTGTTTCTTTTTTTACAAATTTTATAGATACGTTTGCCAAAAAATATATATAAGGGCAA